TCTCATTTCACATCCTCCCTCCCTTCTTCTTTCCTTCTTCCCTCCCTATCTTTCTTTGTTCCTTCCTCTCACTTCCTCTCCTCCCTCCCTCCCTTTTTCCTCCCTTCCTTCTTCCTCCTTTCTTCCTTCCTTCCCTCCTCTTTCTTCTCATTCCACCTCCTCCCTCCCTCCCTTCTTTCTTCCTTCCTCCCTTCCCTCTCTCCCTTCCTTCCTCTCATTCCCACCTCCTCCCTCCCTCCCTCTCTTGCACCGTACATAAACCATGCTTCCTTCCACCACGCTAACCAATACAGACAGTAGGAACATAAGTTATATCCAGGTGACAACATGGGCATCTTCTCTAGATGCCCTTTGACTGCTAGGATCTGGGTGCTGTCCTCCGGCTCATTCTACAACCAGACTTTTGTACAACATGGTCAGATCATCTTCAAGAGCAAGGTTGGGGGAGCCCTGATGGGAAAACTGCACCCCTAGAAACCCCAAGTGAACCAGGCCTCTCTGCGAGAGCAAAGCCTAACCTTTTGGGGTGCAGGTGGCTCATGTGTAGCCGATATTCCGGCGTGTTTTCCGTCCCCTTTAACTGTGGCACTCTCTGAATTCAAATGTTAGGCCCCCGGCGCCGAGACCCGGTCTCTTGAAATTGCCGAGTTGCCATGTCACACCGAGGGAAGTGTAGAGTCCTTCTCGTCACCAGCAGCAGCACCTTTAACATGCATGCCGTATAAAAACTAAATTAGAAAGTGCTGAACATTCCTTGAATGACTGCAGATGTTCAGCGGGAGCCACCTCTGTCCTCCTCTCCTGCAACCCGGTCATGTGGCCACGGAGGGGACGGGAGAAAAAAACGTCACAGCCTTCGGAGCACAAGGGCCTTTGTTTATTATGGGAATCTGCTGTGCTGATGAAATAAGCTGACTTGGGTGGCATCTTCGACTTGTGTTTAACTAAAGCTCTTCTCGGTAATTAATGGGGGGATAAATCGTGGTTTAATTACTCAAAAAGCACCTTGGGTGAAGGATTCATGGTAATTGTTGTGTATTCCCCCTGAAGGATTCACTCGACTGGCAGCAAACTTTCCTAACGATAAAATACTGGCTGAGTGGCAGCCAACTCTGCTGCCTTCTCTTGGCCAAAAATCTGCCACAGAGAGAGGGATGGCATTCAGCTATGGACTTTGCTGTTTTGTGTAGTTCGGAGAGATTTTGCCCCCCCTTCGTCCTTTTCCATACAGCTGGAATTTGTTCTGCTGTTAACCAAGTTCCTAGGTTTGGCAGAAGAATGGAATGGAATAAGAATAAGAATGGAATAGAATTGGAATAGAAATGGAATAGAATAGAAGTAGAATAGAATAGAATTGGAATAGAAATAGAATAGATTAGGAATAGAATAGGAATAGAATAGAATAGGAATAGAATAGGAATAGAATAGGAATAGGAATAGAATAAAAATAGAATAGAATTGGCATAGAATAGAATAGAATAGAATAGAACAGAATAGAATAGAATAGAATAGAATAGAAATAGAAATAGAAATAGAAATAGAAATAGAAATAGAAATAGAAATAGAATAGGAATAGAACAAGAATAGAATATAATAGAATAGAATAGGAATAGGAATAGGAATAGGAAACGTAGAACACAGAACAGAACAGAACAGAATACTTGATTTGGCCAAATGTGACATCTACTGTTAATTTACAAGTCTGGTGGCTGTTGGTGGGATTTTGGGAGGATTTCCCATGTAGTCAGGCCTAACATCTTTCTGGTTCAGATGAGATTTTCCTTAAGGACTTGGTTCCTTCTCACCTACCTCCCAAGGGATCTTCTAGACAAGATTTCTGGATTTTGTCCACCCTGCTTAGGAGTCCACTTCCATCTTTAGACAATCCTGGTCTCTCGCTGCCCTTCGGTCTCGCCCAACCTGGGCAGCCTTAGTCCTTGGTTCAGTTTTTACGGTGCCTTACAAAAACTCTTTGGAACAGCATTCATTTGCTTCTCCAATCTTGCTTTCTACTACCTCTGCTGATTTTTCTCATCTACGTACAGATCCTGTGGGAACGATTCCTGACCATGCTTTAAAAAAAAAAAAAGTAATCTCTTTCTGCTTTGTTTCAGAATTAAAGAAGCAACTGGAAAGTGCGGAGTTGAGTAACCAGCGCTTAAGGGAGATCTTTGCAAGCAAGATTAACGAATTTCACAGAGCGTGTTATAAACTGACCGGATACCATATTGATGCTACGATTGAGAATCAGTACCGTCTGATGTCCACGTATGCCGAGCACAAAGAAGACTGCTTGGTCTTCAAGGCAAGTTACATTTTTTTTCCTCTTCCCCTACACATATACAGATTTAACATTTCTGAGAAGATGGACAAGTGTGAACATCAACGGAATGTTCTTTGGGGTCTTGGCAGGCTTGCTCCAGTGATACCAGCAAACCCTTTAGACAGTTATCTCCTTTGGGAGGTTAATGTTAAGATGTTCTTCAAGAAAAGTCTTTGGACTACTTGACCTTTTCCCCTTTTTCTTTTGGACTGACTAGAGCAGTGTTTCTCAACCTTGTGAGCTTGAAGGTGTGGACTTCAACTCCCAGAATTTCCCAGCCAGCATGAAGTCCACACATCTTCAACATGAGACGGTTGAAGAACACCAGAGTATCCATGGCCTGATTCCCAAACCATAACAGCAGCAGACGTTGGACCTCCATTGTTTTGCTTTCCAAAACATGTCCTTGTTCTGACCTAAGGCTTCCCAAAATCATGAAGCCAACTCCTCGTCCCCATAAAACCCCTTTTATTTAGGTTAAAGGGAATTCCTCTCCAGCAAAGTCCCAGCCAACAGTCTTTTTCAAGAGATTTCACAACTACAGACCTTTATCAGGCTTGGAGAGTTGCTAGGCCGATACCTTCCAAACGCCACTCTGTAGCAGACAATACTTGGCAAGAAGTCAGATCTTCACCCTAATGAATTGAACTAATTGTCTCCTGCAAACCCCATTCCCCTTTCGCTTCTCTTTATTCCCTCTGGGAGGGGCCATTCACCGTCCACCTGTGCCCTTACTCCCAAGTCGACCCTTGTTTCTTAACTGTTCCCTTCTCCTGGCAGCTCTGTGCATGCGCACACTGGGAACAGGCTCCAGCTATTCTTCTTCCCCACTGATCTCTGACTCCGAAGGCAGCTGATAACTGTCAGATAGCCCTGGCCCCATCTCTGCCTCCGACGCAGAGCCCTTGTCAGAGTCTTCCCCAGACTCCAGGACTGGCCCATGTTCCTCCCCAACCTCCTCACTGTCCAGTCTTCCACCAGCTCCACTGGCTGCTGGCGGGCCACAACAGTCCTACACTTTTTAAAATCCCTTTGCCTGTCCCTTTTATCCTGCCAAGAATCCCTTGAGGTTAAATTTGTGGTCCAAAGCCATGACAGGATTTAATCAAAGATTAAATCACAGAAAGCGGACACCATCACCCCTCCAACCATCTGGTTTTCATCGGAAAGTGAATAGTCGACCGTTCTGATCAAAGGTAAGTAATCAAGTTCCTGCAATCTTTTAGCTGGATCAGAATCAGAGAATGCAGAAATTGTCTTAGTTCAAGTTTGACCCACGCATTTCAGAGCAGGGGTCTCCAACCTTGGCAACTTTCAGATTTGTGGACTTCCATTCTCAGAATTGCTCTGAGAATTGAAGTCCACAAGTTTTAAAGTTGCCAAGGTTGGAGACCCCCGTTCCAGAGGACCGAATCCAACCACATTTATACCCAGATAAAAGGGCAAACCACTGGCAGAAAATGAAAATATTGCTGGTGATCATGATTGAAAAGCTACTTATTTAAGCAACAAAACAGCAACCCATAATATTTAAGTTGAACAGTTCATCACCATTGTAAACACCACATCCAACATCATGTTTAATCTGGTCGGCCAGGGAAATGGCCAGATTTCCAGTGCCTTGCACATGTTGTCACAGGGAAGTCACAACTGCTCCATGCAACATGGGTGACATGAATAGAGGCGACGCAGAATATATGGATGACACAACTGTAGTTTTTAGTGCTGGAATCCAGCAATGTTCTTGAAACACCATGAAGGGTGTTCATCTTTTGAACCAGGATATAGGATCTGGGTTAATTCAAGCTTGGAGAACCCCAGAGGAAAAATCTACAAGGGTATCTTGTTAGACGGATGTCATGCGTTATCCATGTTGAAAGATGTGCAAGGGCTATTTTGAGCTTCTCCTGGCACGCAGGTGATGTGGATCTACGTCTTTGCTATGGCTCCCTGCCTTGTGTTTCTTTTTTAAAAAAGAAAAAAAACCTAAAAGTGCTCTTGTAATACGTTTCAGCAGGGTTTGAGAGGCAGACAATTTTGTACAAAGTAATATATTAGAATTATCCTTGATTTTGGCAGATATAGTCTATTACGGTTGCTGGTTCATTAAAGGTCTTAGTTGGTCATAGACATTTCTCTTATTTATGTAAGTGACTGTAACATGGAAGCAGCTCATTGATCAATACAGTGGCTCTGCTTATTAGCTTAGATTTGAAGAATTTCATTTCCCGCATAAGCCGAGTTGGATAACTTCAGTCTTCTAAATACCACCACCGAAGAAAAATATACGGCATTCGGCTGTAGGACTGGGCAGAATGTTTGCGTCCTCTCAAAACTCAAAATAAATCTGTTTTGGAATGTAAATAGGGCTGAGCAGGATGGTTTTGCCAATAAATAACAGATTAGAGACTGTAAAGGAGAATATTTGGCATCTTTGGTGCTCTCTGAGCTGGGTTGTTTCCTTACAGACATTTCATTATCCAAACTAGGTAACATCATGAGAGCTAAAAGGGAGTACAGGCAAACTTTTAGCATTGATTATGTTACCTAGTTAGGTCATGAAACGTCTGCAAGGAAACAGCCAAGCTCAGAGAGCTCCAAAGAGCCCATGGTCTTCCTCTTCTTCTTCCTCCTCACCTCCTCCTCTCCACAATCCCTGCTTCCTTCTAGCACCGATGATGTTCCCTAGCTGGGTAATGAAACATCTGCAAGAAATCAAGCACGCTCAAAGCTATTGTGTATAAGCAGGGAGCAAGGCACCCTCACTAGCACTGATGATGTTTCCTAGTTGGGTCATGAAATGTCTGCCAGAAAAACCATCAAGCTCAGAGAGCTCCAAGGACCCTATAGTCCTCCTCCTCCTCTACTCTGCAAACCCCATTCCCTTCTAGCACTGAGCACCAGGGACCCCACATTAGAACCCATTGTCTATCCTTAGCTGCTTGACGATGTGCGGACTTTGATTCCCAGAGTTCTCCAGGCAGCACACTGTTGTGGTTAGCCGGCAGCAGGTGCGGACGGTTGAGGAGAGCGAGGACTCAGATGAGGGGCCAGGACCATTAGGGAGTGGACTGCTGCCTTCAGAGATTGTGGGGGCTGGCAGCAGCGATGAGGAGGTTCCCGAGGAGCCTGTGCCAAGTGCGCGTGCACGCAGGGTTGCTCTCAGAAAAGAGCAGCTGCAACAGCACGAGCAACTCGGGAGTAAGGCTGCAAGGTAATGGCCCCTCCTTCAAGAAGGTAAAAGCCAGCTGTGAAACGAGCGTTCTTTGCAGAAGGCAAAGACGTTTTGAAACTCCAGCCTCATGGACATTCCAGTATCCTGAGTTTGTATTTAAAGATTCTTGTATTGCAAATTATTTCTTGTCTGTTATCTTTTGGCAGTCTCGCACAGATTGGCAAGGCTTGTGCTTATTACAGCTAATTATTTTGCAGAAGCATTGAAAGGTTTCTGTTCCCTTTGGATTGTGTTTGATTTGTGGGAAAAGGGCGTGGTTCAGAACACACGCTGGAGAGCTTTAAGACACGAGGGTGCTGCAACTAACCTTGAACACTGTTTCCTGTTTGTGAAGTTGTCACTGGGACCTTTGCACGCAGAGAAGGAGGACTTGTTGAAAAGTAAGGATTCCCCCAACGATCTTCACTTCTTCCTCTTCTCACCAAGCTAACATGGTTGCCAGGTTTTTATCCGATGGTGATTCACTGACAAACCATCCGGAAATGGAGGTATTTCTAGAGTAGGAAGGGTTATGTGTGGGAGGCAGAGACGTTTCTCACAACAAGTCTATCACTCCTTTTACAAAATAAAGTCTTTATTAGGGTCCACCCCTGAGTCATTCCTAGTATAATAAATTCAATAGGTTTCCTTTTCTTTTTTCTTTTTTGGTAGGAGCCCATTAAATTAACAGCTGGAGTCTACCCCAGTGTTTGATTCACATTTGTTTAAGGAGCTACTTGAAAAGGTGGGAAGTCTGAAGGCAGAAAATTGAAATAAAATTTTTATCTGGATCACAGTGCCTGGCTTCTTAACCAGGAGGGGGGTTGGAGCTTCAGTGTGAAACAGCATTATTTAAAGAGGACAAAATTAACAGACCAAGAAAACATCTGTGAGGCATTGACACACATTAATAATGTGCATTAACTTGCAAATTTATTGTGCAGGCCTGAAGGGATCACTTGTGAAGGCACAGCCATGGTTGGTAGCAGCTCATTTTTCTTCCTTCCTTCTAGAGTTCATTTGCCATTTCCTGATGAGGCATACGAAATAAGCTTGCTTATTGTTTGGCCCTCCGTTTCTCATTTCCTTCCCTGCTTGGAGCTTCGCTTAAGCTTCTGAGGTTGCACAGAAGCGTGGCTCAACTAAACCCTGAGCAGCATCTCATAGGGCAGATTGTAGGCAGGGTGGGTAACTACAACTCGCACAAGCTAGGTCTGGAGGGAAGGGAGCTTCAAAAGATCTGGAGGCCAACGCGTTGCAGAGAAGACAATGGAATGGCCTTGAGGAAGAGACAGAAGATGTGGGGTCATTCGTGCTCTCTAGTTTGGTGGTTTTCTTGTAGACATTTCATGACCCAACTTGGTAACATCATTAGTGCTAAAGAGTGTGGGGTTTTCTCTCTGTTTACATACAAGTGGCTTGCCTTGTCAGTGTTGGTGGGAGTGTTCTTGGTGGGTCCTTGATTAAGCTGTGGTTGGTGGTTAGTAGTTCCTTGATTAGGGTATTTTTTATTGCTTGCTCATAATCTCTGCTTATCAGGTTGTTGATTGCTGGTCAGGAGGTGTTGTGGTCTCAGCTTTTTCTATTGTCTCTTTTGAATGGCATGTAGATGCTGTTTATCTCTATGTGCCTGTTGATGGCCAATTCATCTGAATGCCAGCCTTCCAGGAATCCTCTAGTATTTTTGTCTTTGTTTTGAACTAGGCTTGGTCTAGGATGCTCACCGTTTCCCAGTTGAAAGTATGGTTGAGTCTGTCCATGTGTTGTG